AACTGCAAGGCACTATTTTTTTAATGTTACTCTTTGTTAACTTGAGATAGTATCCCTGTAAAGTTGATTATAAACCTTGTATATTATGGTCCTTGATAAGTCTGTGTAGAGGCAACATGGAGGGACCTTCTAGAACCTACGTATCCTAGGATCTTAAGAAAACTGATCGTAAAGGAAATGCTTGTTTGAACCGTGAATCCTGGTGATATGTATACAAAATTTGAGCCCGTGTCTTACCTAAACAGCACCTACAATCCGTTTTCAGTGTAATAATTTGAAAGAACCAAGTGGAGCATGTTTATATTTGCAGGTTGCTAGACTGTGCCGTATCTCTATTAAATATTTGAAGCAACTTTCCTTGCAGCAGCTCAGGTATCCCAGTCCTACAAGGGTATGGATTATATGTTTTTCTGTAATGGGGTATTAAAAATGCTGGGGCCCCATCTAGTGCATGAGCATTTAATGCTGCTAGAGAAGTGATACAAAATGTATCAGAACAAAGTACCAGAGAGTACCGGCAGTACTTCCAGAGAGTGGAAGGCAATTCCATTACTGGGAGATTACTTTTTTTGTAAAATATCTTGCATTGCAACATTAAGAACTATTATCTGTAATGGAAAAGAGAAAGGTAAAAAGCAGTTGGTCATTTAGAGGTTTATCTGTGAAAGGTGATGCTGCAGAGGTTAATCTTATTATCATGCCGTAAAGGGACTATATACATTAAAAGATTTGACTGTATTTTAACACAAGTATTAGCAGTCCAACTGAAGCCTGATTACAGCTGGAAGATCACTGTGAGACCAGGACAAAGCACGTTTAGGACATTTAGGTTAGATAAATCTGATTAAACCCAAGCATGTTTGACCTTGCCCGGTTGCTTGTTTCCTGAAAAATTTTGTTACTAAACAGAAAGACTGGGATTTTAAGGCTTGATTATGCATTTAATATTGTGGATAAAATCCTGACTCCATGGAAAGTCACTAAGACTGTTTTCATTGTTTCATTTGTATCAGCTTTCACACTTGGATTTTGAGATTAGTTTTTCTGGGTTAGAGAGCTAGGATTGGCTGTCCCTGTGAACTTGAACTTCACTGCACAGGTTTGGAAGGAAATCCTCTTAGAAAACCAGCACCGTAAGTATAACGGGCTGCCCAGTAGTCTCCCTTTTCCAGCAGAGATGAGGGAAGTTGCCGTTGAGATTCTGCCAGAGCGCATTTTAAAATAAATAGGTACAGTACAGTTCTTAACTTAAAAAGATATATTTTTTTGGCAGTATTCATTTTTATGAATAAATGTTTCATTAGGTTTAAAAAAAAAAAAAGTGTTCTTCTAAACAATTCACCTCAAATGACTTAAGTCATGTTTTTTCGATGATTATGCTCATATTCAGTAAGGCTTGCAGTAAGGTCTTCAGAAAGAAGAAAATCTTAAATATTACAGTATTACTTTAGGAAATTCAATGCGTCTGCATTTCTAGCAGAATAGAAAATTATGACTATATCAAGTTACGGTTTCAGTAAAACGTTTGACAATTGCATTTACGTATGAGTATCAGATGAAAATCACACATTTATTAATGAACAAGTAGTCATGCACGTACTTAGATGCTTTATTGGGTGACAAGCTAATTAGGGCTAGTGACTTATATTTTAATGGAAATTTAACAGTCTGTCTTGACCCTGATAGTCAGAGAGGCCCTTTACCCTATGTTTGTTGAAGTCTCTGGATTTATGCTGAAGATTAAATAATGCTGCAAGCCTCCCGCTGCTGATGTACTAAAGTACAGTGTATTAAAATATATTTACCATTTTCAATGATAGCAACTGAAATCAGCAATAGTCCTTTATAACCAAAACTGTTATGAAAGTGTTTTTTTCTTCTCTATATCATATTGTGTCATGTTGAGTACAGTAGTACTATATTATCACTGCTACAGGTTTTTTATTACTATTTCACTGCAGTCTGTGATAACTGTACTAAAGAGAAAAAGTATATTCTGAAATTATGGAAGCTTTTTTAACATAATCCCAAAGTTATTAAAAATTCTTCCTCATTTTTTGGATCTAGGAATCATCCATATTTCTGCAAAGCTTGAAATAGTATAAACACAGCTCAAAGAACATCTTTTCTGACTAAGAGTACAAAGTCAAGGTATTTAACTCAAACCTATGTGTCATAAAGACAAAAAATCCTGTTGTGCAATCCAAAGATCATTTCCATATCACCTGAAGAAATTAAATTGTTCATATTTGCCTCTTAGAATTCTTGAGTATGCTAGAGTGCTTTAAAATCACAACCACTTAAATAGTAAGTTTCTTTTAAATAGCATAAGCGTAAAAATGGGGAAATATGATATAAAGTCTGTATTGTCCCTTAAGCAGCTTTTATTGCGTAGTTGTGCCACAGCATGAACATATACTAACGGTTTATAATGCAGTACTTCTTTAATCGTAAATACTATGCCAAGTTGTACTGACCTTGGGGTCAAAATCAGTGTTCTTGATTGCTGTGGGAGTTGCACCGTAATCAGTGCTTCCACATGCAGATCACAGGGTCTAGCCCAGCATCCCAGGGGGCAGAGCAGGGGTTGTTCCAAATACAGCACAACCAAGCGTCTGCACCTCATCAGGGTCTAGGAACCAGCTTCTAAGCTGCTCTTTCTTCAGCATTCTCTACTTTATTCACTACTTCATTCCCATAAGGGATACTTGGGAGCTCTGTCTCCTGATTCCCTCATTCTCTGCTATTGGTCCCCTCCTGCCACCTTTTCCTTCGAGAGAGAGTTTTCTGAGGGCCAGTTGTTTCAGTGTTTGGGTTTACAGCGCTGTTCTACAAACACTTCTCTTGACACATGTTGATGGCATGGGTGAATGGGTTGCAGCTGGGAACTTCTTAAGCTAGATTTGCAGTCAAATTTAACATGCTGTATTATTACACCTTAGCCAGCACAGTTCTGGTGTCACTAGTTTGAATACCTTGCTAGGCAGGAGGCTTTCTAATTGCTCCCTTGGAAAATGAGTGGTTTTTAGGCTGCAGATATATCTGCAGGTACAGCAGAAATGGCAGCTATGGGTAATATTTCTAACAATATGAGCTCAGTTGCAAGTCATGGACCTCTTAGTATCCTGTCAGCTGGCTATGTTGTCCGTCGCGAAAGGGAAAGGGATGACTTAAAGAAAATACAATTGTGTAGATGAGTCTGACTTTGAAATGCAATTTCATTTATAAACTGAAAAATAATTAATTTCCTTTTTTCATAGTTATTGCTGTTCTACCTGTCTGAGAGAAGTGTATTTTTTGTCACTTTTCTGTAGTCTGATTTGATTCTGATTGCACAAGAGCAGATAAACTGAGAAAAAGGTACCATTTTTATGCATTCAACTTGCAGAGTATAGCTCAACTTGGCAGCTGAGTTTGAATTTGCCTAGTCAGTCCTTTGGTTGCTGAAATAATGAATGCTGAAGTCTTTTAAAAAAAAAAAAAAAGCAAAACTCCAAACAACTGCAACTTTTACCAAATAAGGTAGTCAGAAACTGTTTTTATGCAACAAATTTCAAGACATATGTAAAAGAAACACCAGGCAGGGCTTGTTTTTTTAAACTTTGAAAAAGCAAGATCTGTTAAATGCTGTTCTGAATGTGCTCCATTGTGTCACAGCATTTGAGATCTGCAAGTGAGTGATCTTATTTATACCATATGCCAAATGCTCTAGTGACAAAGTGATGCTGCTGCTTAAGTAAAAGTGTAAATTCCACATTAAATTGAGCCTACACCCTCTATTGCTTTGCCTTTTTAAGTTAAAAAGTTAGCCTTTTCATTTAAAATGATTTCCTGTTTAAAAGTTAGCAGAAATATTTATAGAATTGCTGCTGTACTTCTCCAGAGAAAGACCTTTTTGATATTACAGGAATTCTTTTAAAAAAAAAAAAAAAATTAAGGAATATCCCAAGAGAACTTGTTCAGAAGGGGCTTTTTGAAATTATCTGAAGTGTTTTCCCCATCAATGAGTTGTTGGCCAGTCCGGATTCATGTTCAGTACTGAACATCTTCCTGAGAGCAAATTTATCTTTCAAGGTCTAAATGAATGAAGTCTATTGCAAAAACAGACTTCTTATCATCCTGTATCAGTAGTCATAGTTGTCTTTGATATATTCTCTATGAACTAATAGTAAGTGTGCTAGGGAGTATGAGAAAGATTTTTGTGATCCAAGTAGCTCTTAGTATTTGAAGCTTGTGTTTGGGGGATTTTTAATTCAGACTGATTGGCAATGGATGTTGTTTGTTGTTTACTGTCTGTAAAAGTGCTTATCTTAGGTGAATGAGAAGGGAAAAAATTGTCGTTTATTTTAGATCTACGAATACGCAATTAACAAATTTGAAACTTGCTATAGATTGCCATTGAGGACAGTTATGTGTGTACCTCATAGCTTATGTAAGAAAATTAATGTTTTGTATTTCCATGTTTAGATATTGCAAATGGCTCCAGTTCAGGAGGATACCGCCCCCCTCCCAGAACAAAAGAAGTGATCATCAATGGACAGACAGTGAAACTAAAATACTGTTTTACTTGCAAGATTTTCCGCCCACCTCGTGCCTCACATTGCAGCCTTTGTGATAACTGCGTAGGTAGGTACAGAAAGATGTGGCATATGTTCAATTTAGTAATTCATATATTCTTAAGAATGCATTTGGTATTAGAGAGAAAAGAACCAATCTGAGTGGATGAGAGGATTACCCAGGAGGTCACTTGCTGCATTCATCCTTCTTTCCTAGAAGTTCTAGTAAGCGTTAAGAATTTTAGAGGAGGCAGAAGAGATTTGGCCTCAGAGATAGTCATTCCTGTCCTAGGAAATAAAAATATCTATTGGCACACATACCTTTCCTGACCTGCTCTACAAGACAAGGAACACATCTAAATTGAGCAAGACTGAGTAGTATGTGCCCTGAACTTTCTAGTGCAAAGAAAGCCGAGCTTTACAGGAGTCTCCCAACTGTTTTCTTCACCAAAATAAATTGAGGGCAAGGACCTGCTTTTTCCAATCTTAATTCCAGCTTAACTCTATGAGGCATAGTTTAAATATTTAGGCTTTGATCTATGATCAGAATATACACTGTAGGTAATGTCTACCTGTGAACAGTTATAAAGCTATAAATTGTAAAGTCGGAATCCATTAGAAATTTTTGGGCAAGCGTTCTATTTTGAGAGTGAGTAGATAATGCCAGGACCTACTTGTAATAATACTTTTTTTTTCTTCTCTGAACAACTTGTCTTTTTCCATGACATTTTTCTTTAGAGGGCAGGCAAGGTGATTAAGAGATGCTTGAATTAAAAAAAAAAAAAAAAAAAACCAAAAAAAAACCCACCAATCAAATCTAAGTAGTTTTCCAGTTAATTAGATCACATGTGGAGTTTAGTGCAGCTGATTAGCCCTCTGTTGAGCCTGGATCTTATGCATTCAAGAAAATAATGTAGAAAGATGTCTCCAGCTGAGAAATGTAATTGCAGCATTCGTCAGTGATATTTTTAGATATAAAGCAGTCGTTGGAAGAATTATATCTTCGTATTTAGATGATATTCATATAGTGAATACTCTTAGATGAGAATGAAGTGTTTAGCCTTTTAGCTCTGTTTAATGGATTGACATTTATAGATGGCTCCTTTCATAAATAATTAGTTTTTCTAATGCTAAAGAGTTGTAGAAGTGTCGTGAAAGCCATTGGACTTCACAAACAGGAATGTTTATGAATTTCAGTTGACATGTTTTCAGAAAAGTATTCTGTTATAGTGTTGTGGTGTTGCTCAGCCAGCCTGGCAGTGTGAAAATACAGTTGTTGACCAGTGCAGTAAATAAAAGTTAAAAGCTGTTGTCTTTATGAAGTGTGTGCATAAATAAGACCAAATTCCTCCCCACACCAATCACACACACACCAAAGCTTATTTTAAAATAATGTTTCAACTTTTCTTCACTTCAGATTATTAAGAAATTTTTCTGCAGGTTATTCTGTAATCTGATCATGTCCTATTCATGCTATGTTTGTGAAACCTACTCTGCGAAACATATGATTAGTGATGGGGGGAAAAAACTAGCTCAAAAAACCCTCTGTCTTCTGACTGTTTGTATTAGAACAACAGGTGTGAGATTATTATGAATATGTCTCAGAAAGACAGCTGAGCAAGTGACTTACATGAATGATAATTGTATCAAAAAAGATTAGTCTTGTGCTTATAAAAATAGTTTTGAGATCATGTAATTTCATCTTATGCAATTATTATTTGAAGTTATTATTTTTAAAATTATTTCATTACTTTATTGGAATGAATTTTCTGCAATTTTCTCTTCAATGTTTGTAGTGGAAATTTAAAAAAAAATGTGACTTTTTCCAGGTACAGTGCATAGTACTTTCATTTCCTGATTAGATACAGATATTTCTCATAAAAATATTCATGTGTATTCAATGCAAATTCTGAAACTTAGAAATACTAGTAGCTAATTTTCTGTGAAAAATTGATGTCATAAGAAGTAGATAAGAAGTGCTCGTGCACTTGTGGAAAACTGCAGTCTGCAAGTGCATACTTGATCAGGCTATATATTATTCATCCGTCTCCATTTTTAAGAAATAGGCTTGTCTATATGATGATTCTTTTACTTAATTTAGGTCTAGTTTATGTATAAATCTTACTTAGATGTGAGTCTTCTTGTTTCACTATAATTTGCTAGTTCCTCACTGATGCAACTAAACCAATGCAAAAATATTCTTACTTCACAGGTGCACAGGCCATTAAGTAACTTAAGATTGCAACTCACTACCAGTATTGGTGTGAGTTCCTTTTTACCAAGTAGCTAGTTTCCGAAGCTTTTGCTGGATAATTAAAAATTAACCACAGAAATTGTGTAATATAGGAATGGAATCTTTCTTCAAACCAGAGTTCCCTGTACAGAAAAGCTAGTTTACTTTTTTTGCCTAAAGGTATTTCATTTTACAAAGCAAATGAACATAGTGCAAACGAAGTTCTTTCATTCAGTACTTTCTGTTGATGTTTTTCATTCCATAGGACATACTTAGCAGCGTTTTAAATATGTAAATACATGCAAAAACATTTTCATGTAACTTTTTTGCCTTTTACTTAATCCTAACTTTCTAGTTCTCCAGTAAACCTACCTATTACTTGCTTCTGATTTTTATTTCTTCACTAATTTTATATGGAACGCTATCTACTGTATTTCAGAAAAATTATGAATAAGTAGTTCTTAAAAAAGAAAAAAGAAAAAGAAAAAAGAACCTGAGTAGCAGCAGCTTTAGCTTTGCAATAACTTCATAGAGTATGCAGAAAAATCTGGATTTTTGTACAAATGCACTTTGTTGCTTTTATGCAATGCCTCCAAAGATTTGGTCAAATAAGTGTTCCCTGAGACAGAGATCTTGGATGGATTCCTGGCTTGCTTTCTTTAACTGTCTTTCTGAATGGCAGTTGGAAGTAAGCCCCTCAAGGGCTTTCTGTGTGCCACATGTTTGCTTAAAAATTTTTAAATAATGTAAATATAAACACGAGAGCTAAAATAAGATTTAAAAAAAATAACCACAGCAGTCAAATTCTCAGCTTGAGCTAGTTATTGCTGGGTTTTGCCAACAGGTTTTGATTGCAGTATGTGATGCTATTTAAAAGCCAGTAGTAGGACTTGCTCTGGACGTGACTTTTTTTGATCATTTGTTTCAACATTGACTGTCTCATTTCCTTTTTTATTTTGTTTTGGTAAATAATTTTAGTCTTATTTGCTTTCTACAGAAAATAAAAGCTAAACAAGATGTAATTGGCTATTTCAGAACAATTTGTTTAAATATAGTACAGAATGACTAAGCAGAAACAGTAAGTAATTATTAGCGAGCAGTAAATGAACTTAGTCCAATAAACCAAAAGTCCAGAGACTTTCACGTTGATATGCCCCATCTTTGCCTGCCAAGCAAAAGAGCCTAGTTTAGACTAAGGCAAAGACCTAGTGTGGTGAAAGGAGAGATACCATCACATACATTCATCTAAGAGAATGTCCTTTTTATTTCTCTCAAAATCTATGCATCTTAAAGCTGTGTGATTGTTGGATAGAAATCTCTTGTAAGGTTCCACTGTGTTTCTTTCAACACAGATGATTTTTTCACAGAGGACTGAAAGCTTTACATTTTAGAAATTAGACGTCACAGAGTACCTTTGAAATGTTTTAATTAGGATTACTAAGAAATCAGTTTGTTTTTTTTCAGAGCTCCCTGGTGAACATGAGAATGGCATACTAAGTTAGTCTAAAGCTTTGATTAGTGCAATAGCCTATTTCCAGCCATGGCCAGAGTGGATCCCTAGGGAAGCATATAAGAAGAGGGCAAGCATGCGATGATACTTCCTGCAGAATATTCTCACGCTCTCAGAAATTTGTGGCATTGGTCTTCCTGAACCCTGGAGGGTTATTCCTTTCTTTTTAATAGCCCTTGATGGATCCTAGTGGGCCTTCTTTGTACCTAATATAACCTTTTTCAGATGGAGAAACAGGATGCCACATAGTGCTAAAGGACCATGTGTCATACTGGCATTTTCTCTTGATATTTTTTGATTTCAGTAGGAGATAAGGCTTCTTCTCACTTGTAAATCTATATGTTTGTTTGTTTTTGTTTGTCTTTTTCTATAGATCCTGAACATGGGAGTGAGTGTCAAGATTTAGTGGGGAGAGGGGTCATTGTTTTGGAGTTGTTATTTTTTATCTTTGCTCTTCAAGCAGAAGAGAGAAAGACTTAAAGATGTAGACGAGTCTAGAATGTTGTAACGTCATGGATACTTTTTGAGCTTAACTTCTTTTCTCTCTCAATTTTTTGACCATATAATATATATGGTTAGCGTTATATATCAATTCTTTATATCCAGCTGTAAAATTACATAAGTTACTTTTTGGGATGTTGATGGAAGCAAAATGTTGTTTCCTATTTTCATTAACTTGTATCTATCTTAGGCAGCAGCTAGCCATAAGTGAGAGAACATCCTGGGAAAAAGAATAGATACAGTTCCCTGAGAATGGGGAAGAAACAAAATCAAACTTGTTTATGTGAAGTTGTAACATAGTCAAGCTGGTGGTCCTTTAATCAAAAAAAAAATAAAAACACCACATATGAAAATGGAGGGATGTACAACAGTGGCAAAGAAATTATCATTTTTAGTCCAGTATTGGAAAGGTAATGCAATATATTAGTGACTTCCTTGAACATATTCTGTATTATATATTCTGTGTATTGGCCTGCCTAAAGAAGAAAGAGCATAGACGATCATAATACCTAAGAACGTAAATTAAGTTGTAAACCTCAGAAGTCAGAGTCAAAAAAAAAAAAAAGAAGAAGAAGAAGAGAGAGAGAGAGAGAGAGAAATTACTAGGAGAAAATACAAAGGAATATTTTTAGGAACCTAAGTAAATGACCAAATATTTAAATTTGGAGCAACAACAATTGAAAGATAGTTAAGGAATTCAAAGACAGAGATAAAAGGCAATAACAAAAGTGTCTAAAAGTTGTGTTTTGTGTAGAGCAAGGAAGAACAAAGCCCTGAACTTTGTGGAGACTGAGAGCAGTTTGGTAAGGATGCCAAACTTCCCTCA